TCTAATTGTAAGTTTTTGCAGATTTTGTGAGATTTAGATGTGTGGAAATGAAACTAAAGACACAGTTGTTGTTTAATTTTAATGGTGGTTTCTAATATTAAATTCAATCTTAAGCTTGGCAAGCATTTTTGTAGAATTTGATGTTTCCCCATTCAAACAGAATTCCCGAGCATACCGTCCGAGAGGTGTTTCAAAGATGGCCGCCAAGTGAAATGACTTGCCTTAAAGGGACTTTGACTCTAAAAAGCAGCAAATGCTCACATTCATGCATTGGTGTAAATGAAATAAATTTCTAAACACTCCTGCACCTTTTTACTTCACTGACAAAAATACACAGTTTATCAATACCCATTAACAAGAACAAGGGAAAATAAAAATCTGTTGTGAACATTCAAACATTCTGAAATATGTGGTCCTTCGTTTAAAAAAATAAAATAAAAATTATATATATATATATAAATTATATATATATATATATATATATATATATATATATATATATATATATATATATATATATATATATATATATATATATATATATATATATATACACACACACACACATATACATATACATACACACAACAGTTCTTTCCGGTTCTTGAATCTGATGGCTGATATCTGTGATATATTGAAGTAATATCAGCACCAGTAAAGCCTCTTTACCCTTTGTATATTACTCCGCCCACATACAGCCAGCAAAAAGCAGACACTACAGATCTAAAGTTTAAAAGATGCTTGCTCAGCTGTTTAACTGTAAGCTTATGATTTGAATTCAACGCGGAAGAAAGTAGTTCCTCATACAAAAGGGTTTTTAAGACTCTCCATGTTTGATTTGTTTTTATATACACAATTATGCCGTCAAACTGTTGTATAAACGCAATATCACACTTGTAGCAGTGCGATATGGCTGTATATCGCACGCCTCCCACCAGCCATATCGCACTGCTACTCGTGTGATATCGCGACAACAGTTTCACACAATTTTACTCAACTTTACACACAATTCTCAAAACTGAACAAACAAAATGCAAAAGGCCACACATCTCCTTAAAAATATAACACTGCATTCAAAATGCCATAAACCCTAGTCAAAATGAAGCATTTGCATCCAATAGCAAACGCTCCTTTCATAATAGTAAATGTTTGGGTACACCGTGTAAACACTGTTGTTCTAAATCTAAAGCTCTACACTCTTTTATGGACTTATATCTGCTATTCAATACAATGTTTACTACAGTGAAAATAAGCTGCTGAGAGGTTGACAAGTACACTGTAAACACCGATCACATGAAGAAACAGAAAATATTCATTAGGCCAAAGATTACTGTTAGATCCAGTAGCATAAACATCCTGTATGTAAAGCAAAATTCTCCAGTAAACAGACTCTGTGGTCTGTGGGGGCGGTGGGGGTGAGGCAAGTGTCATTTGCCTGCAGAAGCATCATGTGGGCATAGGGCTGGCCATCATACACTTTACAGAGCCAGGCTGAGAATCATTTCTTGATTCTTTTCTATAAGAAATTGGAAATTAGGATTTAGAAAAGGTGCATATGCGGTAGGTACAAAACAACAAATTGTGGACCAGTCTTTTTTTTTTTGGCCCAGAACAGCCCAGTGTCCTGTCACCTTTGACCTATTTATAGGCCTGTATTACAGTAAAGCAGCGATTGGTTGGTGATTAGTTAAAAAATGAGTGTGTGTGTGTGTGTGTGTGTGTGTGTGTGTGTGTGTGTGTGTGTGTGTGTGTGTGTGTGTGTGTGTGTGTGTGTGTGTGTGTGTGTGTGTGTGTGTGTGTGTGTGAGACCGGGTGAATAAGTGTAGAGTTCTGATTGGTTGTGTTTGGAGAAAAGAAATCAAGTCACTTGCTGTTAAGATTTTTGTGTTTTAGGTAGAGAATTGTGTGTAGTGTTTTGAAAAAAAAAAAAAGTATTTTATGCAATTGAAAACGGAGTTCAAAGCTGAGAAATTGCTTCTGGTTTTGGAGCTTTGAGGTGTAGTTTTGCATTTAGAGTGAGAGGTTTCAGAAATTGTGTTAAAAGGAAAGATTTAGCTTTTAAGCAGTTGGAAAAAACTGTAAAAGGCATCCATACACAAAGACAGTCACTTGCTTAGTTTCTAAATGTATCTGCAATTTTTTTTCTTACAAATTAATTGAGTGAATGGGTTAATGAATCACTCATTAACATGGATTTGCCACAACCTAACGGAAGGTTTTCATATTTACTGATCCATGACACATCACAAAATAAGAATGATGTTCAACGTTGTATAATTAACTTAATTAAAAAAATTCTGTCAAAACAAGGATATTCATTCTTTCACTCATTTTCTTTTTCGGCTTAGTTCTTTTATTAATCAGGGGTCGCCACAGCGGAGTAAACTGCCAACTGATCCAGTAGGGTGTTAAAATTAATTGTTTTTTCGGTGCACCGCGATGCAGATGGATCAATGGATCAGTTGTGATCGCCGCCTGCCGCTTATCAGTATCATTCATCTGTGAAGAGCGCAGCGCGCAAGAGCCAATAACAGCTGTTTTTGTTGACGGTGTGACCAATCAAAGGGTTGTAAGAGAACTAGACAAGGATCAGAAAGTGAGCTGGATATATAGATTTGTTTATATTATTTGCTTAATGCTCGTGTTGTTTCAAGGTACAGTTTATATATCTGACCGTTTGTATTAAATGACAAAATTGTATTACAAATAGTATATAATTATATTTATACATATAATTACACATATAATTATACATATAATCACAGCTCTATTATCCAGCATATGGTATTACAGAGTATTTGCAGGAATCCTAAAGGTAATTTCAATACTTTTTTAAGACTTTTTAGAGACCTTCTCAGAATATTTTAAGACCTCATCGCCACTTTAAGTTCTAATCAGTATCAAACCTTTAAGTTAATAAACAGTGGAGCACAACCATGCAACAGAACTTAGATAAGCTCGGAAGAAACAAAGCTTGAAATATAAATGATGTGGTTGTTTACAGCGACAGGCTTCAGCCACTGTTTAAACTCATCTTTCTTCAGCAGGAGTGGACGTGGAGAGAGTAACTTCACCTTCCTGCGTTTGCCGCAAATTGCGTGACATCACCCGGACGAATGCACCTCAGCTTGTACCAATTGCATGGATCAAGCAAAACATTGTTATTATTAGGAGGAAATTAAAAATATTTAAGCTTTTTTGGAGTTAAACACTTTGGACAATGCTTGAACAAAATTTAAGACCTCGTAAAAGCATGATTAAGACTTTTTAATACCTTTTAAGGGCCTTAATTTTCTCAGAATTGATTTATCAACTTTTAATACTTTAAGTATATTACACCCTGTATTATGCAGAGGATGCACTTCCAGCCTCAACCCAACACTGGGAAACACACATACACACTCTTTCACACACAGATACATACACTATAGCCAATTTAGCTAATTTATTTCACCTCTAGCGCTTGTCTATGGACTGTGGGGGAAACCGGAACACCAAGATGAACACTGGCAAAATGTCAACTGACCTAGTCCGGGCTCGAACCAGCAACCTTCTTGCTGTGAGGCGATCGTGCTACACACTGCGACACCATGACGCCAAAAAAAAGGATACATAAATTATATATATATAGCTAAGACCCATTGTTTGGCTAGATGAAAAGTTGTTCTAAATTAACTGTTATGACTGCTCAGTCTTAACTGCTTTTATAAGACATTTATACAAAAACAAGTATTATAAATAAAATTTTATTATAAATAAAGATGTATAAAAATATATAATATACACACTTTGAAATGATTTGATAACTTTAGCATTTTTTATTATTATTATTTCAATTCAACCGCTTAAGTTATTAGACCTGAACATTATGTTCTCAGAAATGAGGATAAAAATATTAGATTAAAGCAGGACATACAGAACAGGGGCAAAAAACAAAACAAAACAAAATTCACCTGAGCTCCTGCAGTGAAAGGGTCAGTACCATTGCCAACCAGTGGGGGGTGCAGGGGGATTATAGTTACTTTTCTAATTGCTTACATAGACTGACATGATCCAGTTGTGTCTTCCATGGATTCACCCAAAACAATGACATCTAAGGCTTCCATTCCAGTGTCAAACAGGCTTAGACACGTACCGCACTAAGAATAATTAAGACGTCTGAGTATTCTTTTCCATTCTGTTGTGGAGATTTTTGACTTCACAGGAGATATTTGCAAACTACGCACTAGGCTAGACGAATAATTGGGCCTGAATCTGCAGAGGCTCAGAGGTCAAGTAGCCCTCGACACCTCAGAGATCTCATTTAAATGTAATTACATCTGCATGCAGTAAATGATAAGCAGCAAACACATAAAAGCCCATGTGGGTGCTTTGTAAGACTGCATTTCTAATGGAGAGTTTAAAAAAAAAACTACCGATTACCACCTGCTGTTGATTGCTAATGATTTACTTCCTGCAAACTGCACATAATGTAAGCCTCAATTTGAAACGACTGCTAACAGACTGCTTTTCAATCATGTGTTTTCCCCCTCACAATATCATTACAACTTCATACCAATTACAGAGAGCGTATAAATGCTGTTAAATCTTCCCTAACGATAAAACATTCCCTTTAAACAGAGCTTGTTCAGCGTTATATGTTGTCTGCAGTTTTAATATCCTGGAGTCCTTAAATAAAGCATTGATCTAGACCTCAGCTTAATACTTCCAATATTAAACTGGTCTCCATATAAATAATTTAAGCCTGGATTTGCTCACAGAATTTGGCATTTTAATTAAAAAACAACAACTGAAACCTCACAGCTAAAGTTTATAGTCTCAAGTAGGAAATTAGCACTTGACAAAATGTCTTATATATATACTTGAGAAGATTTAATACTTGAGATCTGAAGTAGCAGTAGCAATAAAGATAAGATACATGCGAGCACAGTATGTAGTTTCACATCTGGAGTCCAGATCTAATACACACGCTCACTCACACACACAGATTTAATACTCACAGTGACTCTGAAGGGTGTTGCAGCAGCGGCGGCTGTGGGCTCCATTGTAGGTGGGACTTTGTCAGGGGCGGAGCCCGGTATGCTACGTCTCCGCCCTGTTCTCTCAGGTGGAGAGTCTGTGTGACAGAGAGAGATTTCTTATTTAGTACAAAACTTCTTGTTACATATGTCAAATCCTTCCACCTTGCTTCCTATTTGTTAACATCATATACTCTCCTCACTGGCTTTTTATGGAGGTACATGTATACAATTAAATTAGAAATGGGGTTCATGTTTAATATATAAAAGATGGATGAAAATGACAATAAACTAAAACAATATTGATCATTTTTGATGAATAATGTTTCTGAAATAATTTTGTAAACAAATGTGCTACATCTCACACATATTAAGTACATTAAAAAGGAATATGAATATTGGCGATGCAGGTTTTATTTGTATATAGGTCATTTCATGCAGTCATTTCAGTCATTGATGGTGCTTTACATTAAAGACAATCAACTGTCTAATGTGAAATTATTTTATAAATCTGCAGATTTTTGTGGAATGATTTTGGAAGTATTATAACTAAAACCTTAATATAGGAAATAAAAAGTAATACCTTTTTAACTTGTATTCAATGTTTACAATGCAAATCCTATTAGATTCACTTTATTTGGTAAACAAAGCTAGTCTCTCATAAAATATATCTACTAAAAGACAGAACATATTACTTTACAAACTTTATTGTAAATAAATTATATAAATATATTCATATTAGTCAATAACATTACTAAAAATTCATTTAAAAACTGAATAAATATGAATTCACACCCATTTACACAAGTAAATAAACAGAATCAATGATGGGTTAAAAATCTGCCAAATTCTGCAGAATTCTGCGTGCGCAGATTTCGTGTGGGCCTAGCAATAACTTTGGCGCAGACAATGCACTGTGGACTGCTTTGAAAAATGGAAATAACCATAGTGCAGATAACTATCTTGGTATTTCCTGCATTTCGTGTTTTTAGTATTGCTAGTGCTGTGACTCGAATTGTTTGGAGCTTCTTCACCTGGGTCCAGTACGCTTGGGTCATTACTATTAACTGCCGAAGGCGAATCACTGAGACTACTTTTTTGGGGAGGACGAATTACAAATGTCAATTTTTTGATCCACCAGAGAATAAAATTAACTAAGTCACCATGATTGTTCTCCTAATTGTCCACTGCTAAAATTTTTTAGAATATGACGCAAACCACTACAGGGCTTGTTGTTGGAAACAGGCTATATTCTTATAGTGCTTGTCATGTGACTCGTGGTGCACTCATGCCATTTTTTCGTGCTGAGTGCAAACCATGTGCACGTCATTCCCAATATGCGCTCAAGAAAAAAAAATAACAAACTTGCACACAAACGATGCGACATGTGAACGGCCCTTAGTTACCAGTCTTAGCCATAGTTAGAGCGTGCATATTCGCCTCTGTGTACAAGCTTGGATCTATAAACAAGCGCACCGTTACCATAACTTTCTTTAGTTGCAGCAGTTCGGTGCAGAAATACAAGAAGTCTTTATGATTAATTAACCATGACCAATTAAAGTGTGGTTAATAGTGAAATCAGGTAATCAATGCATTCCAACATCATATGTGAGATGTGGCACAAGTAAAAAAAAAAAAAAAAACTATTAGCCTATTGGCAAGACAAGTTTATTTATATGGCAAATTGTATACAAACTTTTTTCCCCAATTAGCTTTATATCAGTCAAGGATAAACCCACAAGTACAAATTGCAGCATCGTGTCCAAGTGTGGATGTGGATTGTGAAACTCAGCAGCAGTGTGTAATTAAATACCACAGAAGCACCAGCACATGCACTCACTGACTAATCTGTCATAATGTAAAATGTGTCTGTCATAGACCTCCTTATCATCCCTTCATAAAGTCATCAAAGCTCTACATCATTATGCCTGCAGTATGCAAATCTCCTAAACCTCCTGACTGCTCTTTACTGGCCTTCAGGAGAACACTGGTGTTCACACTGCTGGAGAAAAATGAAGCCTCGCTGACTGCTTCATTCTATCAGTGGTAGCACAGGAACAGAGATCTAGAAAGAGATTATGTTAAGTGTTTCACTCTGATCTCACTATCACACACTGATCCTACCAAAAGACATTGTCTGAGCAAAGTCTTCTGTCACAATTTATTTTACCACACACTCACACACACACACACACACACTGGGGGAAGAACGGGGGTATGAATTCTTTTCAAGCATCGTTTCACCCAATTTCCTAAATTTCTACCATCTGGTATGCTGTGTGGACTGGGAAATAACATGGACATGAACCGTACTGCAGGTTAACATTTAAAGGGGATGTACTGTATCTGCTGTTACAAATTAAAATGGATGGAAATGATATGGGCGATTTGAGAAAAATTCTGTATGAGTATTTTTAGTTCACGGTAATTTATATATATATATATATATATATATATATAATTTATATATATATATATATATCACAATGTAGTCATTTATTTACGTTTTTTTAAGAAAATACATAATAGAAATCTGATATAAGGCAATGTATGCAAATTACACATATGGCAAACAAGTTCATGCTTTGTTTTCATATGAAAAAATAATTTAATATATTTACATCTTAGCACTGTCTCCTCACAGCAAGAGGGTCGCTGGTTCGAATCCTGGCTGGGCCAGAAGGCAATTCGTGTTTGCATGTTCTCCCCATGTTCATGTTGGTTTTCTCTGGGTGCTACAGGTATGTACTTGCTATGTACTGTAGGTGAATAAGGTAAACTGAATTGGCAAGAGCATATATGTGATTCTGGAAAGGCATCCGCTGTATAAAACACATGCCAGATTAATTGACGGTTCATTCTGCTGTAGTGACTCCTGATAAATCAGGAGCTAAGCTGAAGGATAGTGATAGGTGGAAATTCGGCTATGTATGTGTGTTTGTATTCATCTGATTGGTATATTGTGTGATTGTTAATGCAATATCAGCTATAGAAAATCATAAGCAAGTGATTCTCTCAAAATTAGTTTATAAAAACTTCACCTAAATAAAAGACAGATGATGATTTTGCCACTCCAATGTGACATTGTGCAATGGAGGTAGTGATTGTTGAGCTTTGGCAGCAACAATCCTGCCTTTACAATGTTTTTCTGATGACAAGACAGTTCAAAATATCAAGCCTTGGAAGCCGATGTTTATTTACACTCTTGCTTCTAAAAGTTGCTAGTTCTGCCTTCCCAAGTACAGCAAGTATATAACAGAGGGAAAGCAATGCTCAGGAAGCATCACAGAGTCTGACATTTCTTGTCAACAACATAAAAACTATATTAAAACCTTCAACATGTCTGCACTACACTTATTTCAATGCTTCACATGTCTCAAACATTCTTATATTTCAGTGATTCCACATAAAATCCACATAAACCTTTGGAAATTGGATATCTCCCTTCATTATTCTTCATTGAACCCTGTAGCACTATTACTGTATTTCACAGTATGTTCAGTTTTGACATTACATGCCATTATTACATCATGAGTTGCTACAAACCTTCAATGCCAACATTTACTAACACGGTAACATACATTCCACTGCAATAGTCTATAAATCATTAAAATAGCTTACATTAATATTTATGAATGTTGCTGTGTCTATATTGTTCATGGAAGATGTTTGCAGAACTATGATCAACAATGGTATATTGTACTACGTCAGAAATATGTCAATTCTACTTAGTCACCAAAAAAAATAGATAAATAAAAAAATCAACCCTTGATAGGTCATTGAAATACTCATGGAAAAATACTGTGTTACTGAGGATTATTACAAGATGTTCATGACTTGAAATAAATCTAAAATAATTAAAATACAAATAAAAATAAACTTAAAATAAATACAAAGAAAAAATAATCATTGTCAATGAATTTACCATACTGTATATGGTTCCTCGCCCGATAAATAGTTTAGAGCAATAATGTTCTAATGAACCAATGGCATCCTGTTTCCCTTATAAACAATGGTGTGATGATTTTACTCCTGTAGTCATGCCTGAAGGTCACAACATACTGTACAAAAACGCCGACGTTACCCAAAGTGCCTGGTTACCCTAGCACCCATGACCACAACTTCTCCCATATTATAATTGAAAAAGCAGCAGGTGGAAGTGAAAGGTCTCACATTATCCCTCTAAAAACCCTATCAGTGACCGATTAGTAACCTTCAATCAAGTCAAGCAGTTTCCATCAAGCCCAGTGGCGATGTGTAATGAGGATTGAACAGCGGGGAGCAGTGTTGTTAGATCCGGGAGAGATGTCTTCACTTTCTCTCAGTGTGTGAGTGTCTGCTTGTTAAAGATATAAGTTGTGAAGGAGCGCAGCTGTGAGAGCGAGTGTGTGCTCATATGCAGAATCTGTCCTTCTGGCTGCTATTTGTGTGGCTCTAGATGAATGTGAGGTTTCATTTAGTCCTTCTAGGCTCAGAAGAAAATAGTTCTACAAGTGTCGAGCACCTGTATACTCAGGCAGGAAGTAAAGTAGGTGCACAAACTCACACAAATGAATATGCAATATGTTTATAACAGAAACTATGAACTAAAATATAAACAGAAACTAAACTTTGGTTTGGGATTGATTTGATTGATATGTCAAATCAACAAGTGCTACAATATGCTATCAGCAACATCAGGAATCATAAAATCTTCTGAAGTTTTTAGCAATGGTTTTGTGTGCAATAAAAATGTATATGAACATATGGAATCATGGCTTGGAAGGAATGGAATCAGTTGTTTATTAAACAAAACAAATATTTTGTAAAAACACATAACTATCAACTAAATCCATAGCAATATCTATAATTTTACAGTGCTTCCCTTGAGTTTGAAATATACTTGTGTTGGTAGCCGGATTGAAACACATCCTTTACTCATGGCACAATAATGGTTAAATGCATGTGACAAAAAATTATGTGATTTTTAACAATACTTTTATTTATTAAGTTCAGGTTGCAAATGTTTATTGGCATGACATTTAGTGCAGTATTGCCAAACCATTTTTCCGATATGTATAACTCATGTAATATATAAACATCATCAAATTATTAACAT